TTTGGAATAATTTGTAAGGCTGCATTGTAGAAACTGTAACTGAACTTCTAAAAATATGTATCACCATAGCTAGATGCAGTCTTGATTACAACGTCCATTTAAAAAGGCTCTACCCCAGGCTTAGGAAGCAATGTTATAATGTCGTCCCATCAACAATATTAAAACACATTCATCTCTAGGAGAATGCTATAAAGAAATTCTGCTGCAATGATAATTCAACTATAAAATATAATAATGATATTATATGAAAGAGTGCCAAGAGATCAGAAATTTTGTGAGAGTATTTTAATTTCTGATAAATATAGGCCGGCACCGCGGCTCACTAGGCTAATCCTCCGCCTAGCGGCGCCGGCACAACGGGTTCTAGTCCCGGTCGGGGCGCTGGATTCTGTCCCGGTTGCCCCTCTTCCAGGCCAGCCCTCTGCTGTGGCCAGGGAGTGCAGTGGAGGATGGCCCAGGTGCTTGGGCCCTGCACCCCATGGGAGACCAGGATAAGCACCTGGCTCCTGGCTCCTGCCATCGGATCAGCGCGGTGCGCCGGCCGCAGCGCGCCAGCCGCGGCGGCCATTGGAGGGTGAACCAACGGCAAAGGAAGACCTTTCCCTCCGTCTCTCTCTCTCACTGTCCACTCTGCCTGTCAAAAAATAATAATAATAAAAAAAATTTCTGATAAATATAAAATAATACTGTGAAGTTTACCCCACGTTGGAGCACATTTCTTCATTAAGCATTAATTACTTTAGCTACAATTGATGCAAGGTAAGTATTAAACCTATAAATATTGACCATCTCCATATTTCTTTTTTAAGTTTTATTTGTTTATTTGAAAGGCAGAGGGACAGATAGAGAAGAGACAGAGAGAGAAAGTGATCTTCCACCTGCTGACTCATTCCCCAGATGTCCATAGCACCTGAACACCGGGAGCCAGGAACTCCATCAGGGTCTCCCATGAGGGTGGCAAGGAACCCAAGTACCCGGCCATCATGCACTGCTGCCCAGGTGCTTTAGTGCAAAGCTGGATTGAATGCATTGACAGGAGTGAGTCCCAGGCACTCTGAGATTGGACGTGGGATTCCCAAGCAGCAGCTTAACCTCCTGTGCCACAACACTCACCCTCTATCCACATTTTTTTTTTTTTTTTTGGACAGGCAAAGTAGACAGTGAGAGAGAGAGACAGAGAGAAAGGTCTTCCTTTGCTATTGGCTCACGCTCCAATGTCCGCCGCAGCCAGCACGCTGCAGCCGGCACACTGCGCTGATCCGATGGCAGGAGCCAGGTGCTTCTCCTGATCTCCCATGGGGTGCAGGGCCAAGGACTTGGGCCATCCTCCACTGCACTCCCTGGCCACAGCAGAGAGCTGGCCTGGAAGAGGGGCAACTGGGACAGAATCCGGCGCCCCGACCGGACTAGAACCCAGTGTGCCGGCGCCGCAAGGCGGAGGATTAGCCTAGTGAGCCACGGCGCCGGCTCTATCCACATTTCTAAGAAATCAAGACTAGAACTGCACTGCCTAATATGGCAACCATTAGTCACATGGAGGCTACATAAATTGAATAAATAAAACATGAAAATTTCAGTTTCTCCATTGCACTTACAGACTTCGAGAGGTCAATAGCCACATGAGGCTGATGGTGACCATTTTGGACAGAAGAGATCTAGAACATGTCTATCACCACCAAAGTTCTGCTGGAAACAATACTGGGCTACATTATCAAGACCACGACCAAAGGATGGAAAATCCCAAATGCCTATGTGTGTGTATGTGTGTGTGCAAATTTATTTCTATAAAGTCACTTTCTCTTTGGTACAAATGTCTGAATTAAATGTACCAAGTTTAAGTGATTTTTCTGGAGAAATATATATTCTAATGTAAATAGTTACTCAGGTCACAGTATTGCAGTATAGATTTTTTTTTTTACTTCTTGCTGCAAAGAGAATGACCCCCAACAAGATTTCAGTTTTTCAGAACAGCAAATTATAACATTAGCCAGTTTTCCCCTTTATGATTTTCTTTCTTAATAAAGATGTTTTCTAACTGTTCTCTGCTCCCAACTGTACCCAGCAGTAGCCCAAGTTTTATATTGAGCAAGAAATTCCTATTTTAGAGGCTACCACTTCAGGCCTCAAATTCTATACTTGTGAAGTTTGTGACTAGTGTTAAAAGCTAACCTCCTATCCTGGCCTTTTACTGGGTGAGGAGACTTTATGCCCTTCCAAAGTTCCTTCAAATTCCTTAGTGGAACACAACTTCTCACCTCTCAATTCGGAAAGATTCATTTTGTAACACACAAAAAGACAGCAATGTGGAAATGCATAAACAATACAGTGTGACATGTTATAGAACATGAAATGCTCCTGTAATGATACTGAACACAAAGTGCCTCTAATTCATCAGAGAAAGTGTGAGTGAGATCAAGTCTACTAGTCACACTTAGCAACCAAAAAAAAAAAAAAAAAAAGGCTTCAGGGGAAAGGAGGAAATAAATGAAAAACAAATTCAAATGAGAATAATAGGAAAAACTACCAAACCACAGGGCTAAACCAGTTGTGTTTACTTTTTTAAAAGCTTTTATTTAATGAATGCAAATTTCATAGGTACAACTTTAGGAATACAGTGGTTCTTTCCCCCATACCTGCCCTCCCACCCCTACTCCCATCCTACCTCCTATTCCGTCTCCCATCCCATTCTTCATTAAGGTTCATTTTTAGTTTAGCTTTATATACAGAGGACCAACTCTATGCTAAGTAACGACTTCAACAAGTTGTGTTTACTTGAACGACTTAATGAAAATTTGAAAGACTAAATAAATGATATAGCTGGTCTGCAAGATGAAAAAGAGATCTATAATTATATGCATTTATAGAAAAACTAAGTATTTTTGTGAAAAGTATATCAACAATAATTAGTAGTCATTTCATATTGAAAATAATTTGATTTTAAAAGTAAGCAGTGCAAACATGAAAAAATAATAAAGTCCAGGTAAAGAAACATTGAGCAGAAATTTCAAAGATTTTAGGAATGGATCTTTCTTCAGAGTAACAACATGTGGTTTGGAAACTATATTTCCAAAGTAGATTTCATAGTCCTGAAAATGAATTAGAATTTTGAAATTAACAAAAAGAATGTAAGTTAGTTTAGGAGAGGGAAGGAAGGAAGGGAGGAAGGGAGGAAGGGTGGAAGGGAGGAAGGGAGGGAGGGAGGAAGGGAGGAAGGGAGGAAGGGAAGGAGGAAGGGAGGAAGGGAGGAAGGGAGGAAGGGAGGAAGGGAGGAAGGGAGGAAGGGAGGAGCCAACCCCTCAAGCTTTTTCTCAAACAGATTTTTCATCTTGGTAATTCTACTTATCTTCAAGGCTCTTTGCTACCTAACCTCATTTGGTCAGTTCTCTTCGAGCAAACTGAAGCCAAACAAATTATTATAAAGGTTTACTAATAAAATACTATCTTCCAGGCAATTTTTTCTTAATTTTTAATATTTAGAAAGTTTTACTACAATTAGGAAAAAAAACTCCAGGCCAAAGGCCTCTGAAACATTGTTTGTCAGACACTAATGGGCTTTGGAAAGTCTGCAACTCTGAACTCATTAGGACTTTGAGTAGCTGGTTTGTGCCTAAGAATGCGAATTGATAGAGAGGCTGGGACTAAACACATAATTTTTTGAAATATGATGAAAACATAAGGGTTTTGTTATGACGCACATAACAATCAAGAACTTGTTCCTTCTTAGCAAGCTCCTAAAAAGTACCTCCCGTGTAATTATTAAATAAAAACACTCTCTTATTCAGTCCTCAGCTAGCTTTTAAATTCTGAATACGAGAAGTACACAGTAAGAGAGGTACTTACATCCAGTTTCCTTGGAGACTGGATGATGCCATTGAGGTCTATGTTTTTATCTGAAAGTGGTGCCCTGCGGAGAAACAGGCTTGGCGAGTGGCTGTTTATACATAGTAAGTAAATAGGAACTTTGTTTATTTTACAGAGCGTTCTTTATTTTGACCCAGATTTCTTCTTCACATCACACCCAACCCTTGCAAGCAGCAAGAGTACGTCAGGGCAGGTACCTGGCACAACTCTCTCCCACTCCACTGAAGAGATCGGAATTATTAAGGTGGAAACTTTGAGTGTGCTGCGGGAGGGAGGGCCTGGCACCTTGGGCGACTTTATACATCCTGAGGACGATGATTGTATCCGATGCATCAATGAACACTGCCTGCCTATTTTCCATTCTCAAACTGGCAATACAGAAAATAATCTAAAAAAATTCACAGGCAGGGTCCTTGCCATGATCGAAGAGCGAGATAACACAGCTGAGGCATTACCCAGACCCTAAGCATTGAGTCGTGTCCACAGCCACTCACTGCCATTTTAAATGTGGCAGCCACATTCTGAAGGCCCAATAGTCTGAGGACTATGAGCAAACAATTCTGACATCCAGTCTCTGAGAGCAACACGCTTTCTAATTTGGGTAGCTTGAGAAATCCCGCCTATGCAATACTTTTTAACCTTCTAATATTTCTCCGGATCGAAAAGAACAACTGAGCTGCAGCAAAGAACGGCCCCTCACTCTAACGCTTAACACAATTTAATAACCTGAAGTGAAGTAAGTGTGCACTGTGTTTCCATTAAAAAGTTTCCAGCCACAATTAATTGAACAAAAACTTGTCTTGTTCCAAGATTATTCTTGGAAATGTAATTTTAAAGCCTGTGCGAAATGAGGAAACTCACTTTTTCATACCATATGAAAGCAATTTCATTTTTTAGGAATGATTTTTTGGAGAGACTTCCGATTGGATATTTTCCATTGGAACGAGCCACCGAGGGGGCTGGAGGGGGAGGGGAGGGAGGCACTTCTGTGTTCTTTTGCCAGCACTGACAAAGGTCTGGTTGTCAGTGATACCTTTACAGCTAAATTTACCCAAGAGTGACAGAAACAGGTGCACCTCGGCCTGCCAGACACTTGCGCGCAGGGATCACGCATCTCACGGCCTGACGATCGAGGGGCCAAGCCTCCGTCTTCATAGAAAAGGAGAGGAGGCAAACGTAGCCCAAACTGGGGGGTTTCTCTTCAAAGCCAGCTGGTCTGGCTTTATTCTACAGGAATTTTTTTACCTGTCAGAGTTTGGACACCCAAGCCCTCAGCAGGTGCTGACGGGTACAACTTCCTGGAGAAGCAGAAAGGCACTGGTGAGTTTTGATTGCCAAAATGTAGTTTTTTAATGTCTAAAAGTTGGTTTTGTTATCTCGGAAGAGGCACCACCAGGGTACCTAAAACGGCCGTTCGCAAAGCCGGTGCGACCACTGCAGGCAGAGCCAGCTAACTCAGCCGTGGGCTGGCTGGTACAGCCAGCAGAGTGCTACCCTCGGACAACGGTTTAGGCTTTTTGAAAAAAAGTTTTGTACGAGAAATACCTTAGATTTGTAACCTTGGTCTCTTCCATCACTGTCTTCAGTATCTGGAAGAGGAAGACTGACTAATGTATATTAGTATGATATTATTACTAATGCATATGAGTATGATATGAGACTAATGAATAGCACGTTAGTCTCTTTTTAATCTAATTCGCTCACAATCTTTTCTGAATGTTATTTTCCAGTGAATCTTCAAAATCAAAACATGAAATGGTACATGCTCCTTTCAAAAGATTCCATGTGCTGGTTTTTTTTTAAAATGTGTGCATGTTACAAGAATATGGTTAGCGAGAATATGGAATTAACTTCATTTTGATACATTTTTAAACATGTATTACATAGAATATTTAATAACTCAAAGTGGTGACATTTTCTCATTACTATTCAAAGAGTTTCTTTAGAGAAAAAGAACTTTGGGCTAAACAACCAAGACAGTACTACAGCATGTTTTTACGTCATTGATTTCCAAAATTAGTACACATATATTTGGTGCTTTTATTTTGTGGATTCAAAAGTTTAGGCAAAAAAAATTTTTTTTTCAGAATAGGATTTTAATTAATGTGAAACATAGAAAAATGGGACCACATGTTAAGACATATTTTTAAAAAGTGACTCTATTTCAAGGACTTATTCTTTTAACTATGCTTCACAGCATTTCTCTACAAATTGTTGTATTATAGCAAATTGAAAACATTTATTTAAGTAAGCAAGCAGCTCAAAGCTCGGGACTATACATAGTAAACATATGAAACCATTTTAATAACCAAATTCCATATTCAAAAGCAATATGGCCTGATGAGTGTAAAAGACACAAGAGCATACATTGATCAAGAACGCTATAAATTATTATGCATAAAATCAATTTTCTGGACTGTGGGGGGTAGAATTGATGCTTAAGAAGAGAAAGGCTTCTACCAATGTAAATTAGCAAGCTATAAGGCAATTGTTTTATTCTGGTGAACTCATAAATAATCTCCCATCCACACACTTAATACATAGTTGCATAGTGGGAAAATATATCTGACTTTCATTAATTATCGCTGTATCTAAGACCATTTTTTAAATCAACCATGATTTGGATATGCCACAAATTTGTAAGTATCACACACTCCAAAACTGGCTTAATTGTGGGTTAAAATTATGAAATATTTGTGTTATAAAAAATTATACCAAAAAACATAGTCCATTTAGCCAAAAAAAACCTATTTTTTTTAAAAAATATCATCTACAACCATTTCAATGAATCTATATTTTTAACAAGGCCCAAATATATTCTTCATTATAAATTGCTACATGTAGAGTATACTTGATATATTTTATTTAGTATATATATGTACATATGATGGCTTCAAACTATTTTGATTTGATGTTTTATCATGTCTCTTTATAGCGATTCTGACACTTGAGTAAGCATAATCATGGAATATTTTAGCGAACTTCATTAGCCTCTCAAAGAATGACCATGTACTCTGCACTTGAAAATGGTTCTCATTTTTCTAGTCTATTAAATATTATATTACTACAGAATCAGAACACTTGCTTCTAAAGGTGATAACTAATCACTGCAAAGCTGAGCAACACACATTGTTAAACCACCTCCAGAATTATCACTCAGTTTGCATGGGCATTACTATTGGCTGTAACTGGTACTTTTTTTGTCATAAATACTAAGTAAAACCAATTGAAATGCTTCTGCAAAACTGTTGTTTGTGACTGTCAATTACTGAATTGTAACTGAATGTATCCAAAGCAATGTTAGATAAATTTTAATTATTCCAGAATATTTGGACTTTATCATTTCAAGTGTGCCCTGAATATTGACTTAATCTAACATCTGATTTTTGCTTCTAATTATGACAAGACGCTGTAAATGTAAACCTGCAGTCATAGGTTTGTCCTTTCTAATAAATCTTCCATATTAGGTCACAGAAATACCTATGGCAATGCCCTCAATGTATGGAAATTGTTTATTTTTAATAAGCCTTAGTAAGACATTTGATTTAAAGTAGCAGAGACTCATAGCTGTCCTAAAATTTTAATTTGAAACGTATACATTTTAAGTATTATTTGCAATGCATCTTCAGATCTTAAAGCTTATTTATAAAGGAGGGAAATCAGTTATTCTGCTGTTTCAGAGAGATACTTGAAAGACACAGTTTACTTTATATTTTCATAGGAAAAATCTTGATTCTTCCAGAAATCAACTTTAATAAATGCCATTACTTATAGCAAACTACTTAATTTCAGCACAACTGAGTTTCCACCTAAAATGGCTTACTTGAAAGTATTTAAAGAAACAAAAATAGTTTGGCAGCTCCATGTGTATCTCCCCGTCGAACAGACACCTGACTGACAGCTGTCAACTGTCCGTGAGCCAAATGCAACCCAGTAAAGATAAAAATTGCATATTACTCATCCCTGTTGGTAATACCTGGTGCCAGGAGGTTTTCAAATAGAAATAAGGAAGCTGTGGACAAAAAAGTCGCTTCTATACCCACCACTCCTCCTTGGTCATTGGCTTACTTTCCCTTCCTTGTCTAAATTATCCCATTTTCCTCAATGGCTGTTCCTGGCCTCTACAAGCAGTGAATTTCCTTTGAAGAACTTCCAGAGGTGGGGAGCAAGTCTGTGTCCATGAAAAACTGGCAACCAAGTAACAATGCCCACACATCTCTTTCAATCACGGCTTTTTTTAGGCTCCTAAAATCTGTAAGTTGTGGGAAGAAGGCTTTGAAGTATCATCTTCCAACTTTAAAGAAAATGAAACTGAAGAATAAAAATGAAATCTGCCCAAGGTGGCCGAGGTAGATGCAGCCTTGGGCCTGTGTCTCCCAACTTCACATCCCGCGATCTTTGAGTCTATTAGATTTTAAATGTGGGGACTAGCAACCTACATAAGTAAAGGAAGATCCCATGGAAAATTAATGTGAGCTACATCCCTTTTAAAAACCAGTTTCAGGCACCAAACACCTTCTTGGATAAATAAATTTTAATATGCTAATAAAAATGTTTAATTCTGAAAAATGAACAGTATAAACACATTTTTAAAATGTGTGGTACAAACTTTTTTTAAGATTCTGTTTGCCATTTAAATGGATTTCCAAACTGAAAATGTTTATGAATGTTTATGAAATAGTAGAAATAAAAAAGTATCAATATGTGTGATTAGAAGATGAATATAAAAATCAAAAGTTCAGGTTGGAATTTCCTATAAAGATCAGGGGGTAATTAAAAAGATGAAATTTACCAAAACATAAGCATACATATAGCAAAGTGCAGAAAGTATTAAACAGTTCATATAACTGATTCAACATTTAACTATCTTGTGTGTGTGCATGCGTGTGTGTGTGTGTGTGTGTGTGTAAAATGTGCCAGGGTTTCCTTGCCAGGAATTTGGTCTAAAATGATTGACAGTTCTAACACCACCATTTAGCAACTAAATTATATATCTAAATTTACAAATGTATTTGCTTATTCCATTACATTTAGTCCAAATCAACATTAGTCATTAATCAGCAAACTATTTAACAATATGCAATACAGTATGCAAATCCATTACAAGCACAATAATCAGTAAATAATATCCATGTCTAACCATGGTGAAAGACAGGGGTGTCAAAGCAAAACACACAACATCACAAGACATTCAGCCAGTTGGATCATTGGCCTGCATCTCCAGGGGTGTCAGCGACAGGGAGCAATCATCCTTTGTCCGCCTTGGAAGGATCTTTACTGCTGTCTCCCTAGAGCTAAGAGCGCCCTCCAAAGACTCCCAGAGCAGAGCAGGAAGGGCTGGGTGGTGGCCTCTGTGTCATCGCAGCTGAGTAATTTTGAGGCTGCAAGCAATTGGCTCAGCCTCTTGCTGTTGGATGGGACTTTCTGCTTGGTATTGGACAGACCGAAGGAAAGGCTGCTAGAGTTCTCCAATGGGAGGCCTTTCCTCTGCTCCATGTGAAACGGCCCCAGAAGGAATCCGGGTCCTCACTGGTGGCTTCCGGTCTGTCCTGGCATGCCCCGCCCTTCCCTAGTGCTATAAGTAGCCCGCCATGTTCGCATTCCAAATCATTAAAATTGACACCAGTGAGTGGCCTGTGAAGTCAGTGGCAAAACAAAAATCACTTTGCAGTATACGACCAACCAGCAGGTCGGATTTTTCCAAGTCGTCTCAACCTCAAAATCTGATTCACACATACAGCTTTGAACCTTTCAGTATGCATAGCAAGTTCATTATTAAGCCCTAATATTTTTTGTTTTATATAATGGCACAAAATTTTATAATTAAAAAAATTCACCACCCAGGCTGCTAGAAATGAGGCTAAGAGAATATTTCATAAAGTTTGTGGAAAATGGAAATAATAGATAAGTTTATTGTGGTGAAAAAAAATTGAAATCCATGCATTCTCATAATGGGAATTTTTGTACGTGTGGCATAACTTTTTTTCTCCTTTGCAGTTGCAATCAAGACAGGTAACAGAAAGATTCAGGTCATCTTGAACCCTCATTCTTACTATGTTGAAAGTTGCTCACCAATTTAAAATTTCCATAGAGTTTACTGAAGTTAGTTGAGAGAAAAGGAATGAACACCAGAGAAGGAAAGCTTATGACGTCACAAGGACTTTGTGGGTCTCGCATTTGCCCTTCCCCCACGACAGTGGAGATGCTTGTTACTAAAACCTTAGGAGCCCGAGATGATGTGGCTGAGGCCCCCAAGGGCAGGCCCAGGAATCTGCATTTTGACGTGCATCCTCAGTGATACAGAGGCACAGCCGTAAACC